GGAGCAGAAAGCCTCATCTTTCTCCTGCAGAACAGCTGGCAGTTTCGAACTGCTGACCTTATGGTTCACAGCTTGATTCCTAACCACTAGGCTACCAGAGCTCCTTAGCAATCAAGAAAATAAACAAGGTATTGCCTTAAGCAAATCTGCTGCATGAACCCTCCTCTTTAAAGAGTTCCAGAGCAAAGATGTCAGTTTGAGGACTAAGGTGAGCCTGACCCAAGCCAAACTATTTTCAGTAAACTTTATATATGTGAATGTTGGACAGTGAATAAGGAAAACCATAAAGAATTGATGCATTTGAGGTATGGTGTTGGAGGAGAATATTGCAAGTACCATGGACTGCCAAAAGACAAACAAATCTGTGTTGGGAAGTACAGCCAGAGTGCTCCTTAGAAGCCAGGATGGGCAGACTTGGTCTCTCATACTTTAGACATATTAACAGGAGGGAACAGTCTCTGGAGAAGGACATCATGCTTGGCAAAGTGGAGGGTTGGAAATAAAGAATAAGACCCCAATGAGATGGATTAGCACAGAGGCAGCAGAAATGATCTCAAACGTGGTTAAATTCTTGAGGTTGATGCAGAACCCGGTGGTGTTTCATTCTTTTGTATATAGGGCTTCTGTGAGTTGGCACCTACTCGATGGCACCTAACACCCACAACAACAACAGCAAGTACTTAAAATCAAACCATAATCCATTTTCAACATTGCTATCAAGGATAGCAAGCCTCTGGCATTTTAATTGGAACTCTAAATTCTTTGTCACTCACCCTCCCTGTGATATTGATACTGGTCTCTTTTTTATTCATAAATTTCATATTCATTTCTGTCTTTCACTTCTTTTAATGGCAAGTTATTATTTCAACTATCCTTATAATTTTGACCTATAAAAAAAACATTCTGATTAGTTCATTTCTCCAGACCTGTATTTCTCTAAACAATTTAATAAATGAGTTTAGTCCGCATAAAGTTGTAGAAAGATAGAAGTTAAAATTTGTAAATATCTTAAAGACTCATTCATACTTAGCATCCAATAAAATTTGGTATTATTTTTCAATATCATTCTTATTAATATCCAGGTTAAGAACATAATCTCTTGGGATGACCCACACCCTTACTTTTAATTCTGGCTTTCTCAAACCAATCTGCTCATTGTCTGAGTGAATTTATTGACTAGATGGAATTAGGCAAGGGCTTTCAGGGATTATCTTGCCTAATTCAATCTAACAATGCAATCTGCTTTTCTCGTCCCAAAGCTGATCACAGGTGGCTTAGATGAAAGAAATCAAACAGTATTGCAAAGCTAAAGGCTATCTATTGAACCATTTGTGCCTCTATCGAAACAGCCATTTTGATATCTTTGCTTACTTCAATATTAGCTTTCATTCTTCTCAGCTACCATAGCTCTTAGTCCCCAATTTTGTGACTTTGAATTTCGCCAATTTACAGTTTGCACTTTTGTCAGCTAAGCAGCCACTTCCCTTCTTTCACTTTGATGACATTCAGATTTAATACTTGTTTTCTGTTTGCCCTCAAGCAACTGTCAGATTTTGATTTCTAGGAAAGTTGAATTAAGAAATTAAAACATCTGATGTGTTAAAAATCATAGAGAAAAATGAGACAGCCTCTTTAAAAAAATTCCCCTTTGATTGTAATAGTTTTGGGGTGATATAAAGTAATACAGGAGTAACAAGACAAACTTTGCCCATTAAAGCACAACATGTAAAAATATCACAAGTTGAGATGGGAATCAATACAGTAAAAGACTGTGTCTAGCTAAAAAAAACACGAAGCATTCAGGAGGGCTGAAGGTCCCCACTGAGAACCAGTGTCCTACACACGGACACTCTAGAAACACTGGGGAAACTTCTGGAGGGCTGATGATTGTGACACAGAAACAAATTCCTCCCAGTAAAACATTCTAAAGCCAATTGGTTGTGGCATTTAACAACATATATATGTCGTTCCCATTTGAACTGTTGACCTTGCAGTAGCCTAGCTTGTAACCCAACAAGTATATATAGATAGATAGATAGATAGAGAGAGAGAGAGAGAGAGAGAGAGAGAGAGAGAGAGAGAGAGAGAGTTTTCTTTTTGCTAGGAATGTATTTTAGCTCTGATGCCATGCTTTGTTTCTACACCCTTAACAGAGTATTCAATGTCAAACTCATTAACTCTATGGGTTTTGTTGTAATTAAGGTCTTTAGAACCAACCTTGAGGACCACAAGATCAGTTTGAAAAGCAAGGTTGGTGGTTGAAACTCACCAGTCCCTCCTCGGAAACCCTATACAGGGTGGCGATGAATCAGAACCTACTCATTAGCAGTTAACAACAAATTACATATATATATATGTATATATAT